GTGTTTTTTTTATCAGTTTTAATCGAACTGTCAAATCGATTATATATTTAAACAGGTTTCATTGCCAGAAATAGTGGGCATACACGTTTTTTTTCCGAATCAAAATAGTAAACGTTCACGGCTATGCCTTCATTCTGTTGCATGAATTTTTCAATTTGATTTAACTGCACAGGAAAATCAATTCCATCGAAAATTAGTTCATTTCTCCACTGTATATAACTTTCTGCATTTTTCACTTTATTTTTGTTTCTTGCATGCACTTCATCGTAATGTAATGCAGACAAAATCGCTCACTTAAAACATTCGTCATTTGTGTTTTTTAAATTTATAATAGATCTTTTGTTTTTCAATGTTTGTGGAAGCTCGATAAAACCAGATCCATGTAAAGGTTCATATTTAAAAATTTGCACTGTTAATTTAATGATTTTGCTTAATGTAAATCCAGAACCTTCCACCATCACCTCATCCACTTTTCTCACCACATGATTAATTACATCGTTTCGAAAATGTTCACTTAAATTAGTATTCTCGTGGATTTCCCTCATTACAGTAGGAATATAAACCAATCTTTTCTCAAACGTTGGTTCATCGAGTTCATCATTCACGAAAGCCCTTTCGAATTCAGCTTCGAAGTATGAAAGCGTTTTTATTATTTTGAACTGAGTCACTGCTTCGACTATTTGTGATTGATAATCCTTGAAAGCATCAAATAAAAATGGTTCAATATCTTTATATCCAAAATTGATTAAATTGAATTCACGTATACGACGACCGAATGCAGAATTTGAAGTTTGCAATTCTACATACGGAATTTCACCACCATCACCACCTCCTTCATCAAACTCACGTTCGAAAGAATTATTTAAAAATTCATCCATTTCCCGATCACTATAACTATTTCTTTCATTCGATTAGAGCAAAAAAATATTGTTACTCTTCTCTGCTTTGCAAATTGACTGGATGTTTTCAATGAATGTATGGCTTTTAAACGTTAAACCATACGAAACAATTTTAATTATAGTGAATCACGCGTGTACAAACATTTTTGAATGAGATAAATGAATGGTTGTTTGAAGCTAATGCACTTGGAGCATATTATTAATTATTATCATGCAACAGATTTTTTTTTAGTTGTTTGAAGCTAATGAACTTAGAACATACAACATTGAATAATGCATGCTTGTCATGCAAACAATATGTTAGTATATAAACCAGAGTCCAGAGAGACTTCATTGCTGGTTAACAGTTGCTTTCAAAGTGGTCATTGAAACACAATTGAAAAATGGATGTGTTAAAAAAGATAAGCGAAGTGGAGTCGAGTAAATCATATAATGGTTTACCAAAACTTTTGATCGGCTATCACGAAATTGTTTGTCTTCGTGAATCCCACGGAAAATTTGGGAGAAGCGTGATTGCTGAATTAAAGAACGAAATAATTATTCTACCTTCATTTATATCAGGGAAACTAAGTGATAGTGATTGTCAGAAATCAGAATGTCATCTAAATTCTGGATTTATTTTTTTGACACTAATATATATATGTAATGGATATTCACTCACACTATGATTTTTTTTTTCATGTTCGATGTAGTTCACAGAGAATCTTTAAACTATAAAAATTAGCACATTAGTAAGAGCATTTGTGAATATCCTTTTGTTTTTTATATGCAATGTTATATGCACAGTTGAAAAAAAATGAAAATAAAAAACCCTGGGAAAAAAAAATTAATCGATTATGATTTTTCTTTTCATATTTTAAAAGGTAAAGTAATTCAGAAAAAAAGCTTCAATCGCGAAAACAAATCAGATCTCCATTGATTGAATTTTTTTTAGTTGTATATTTGAGCTTGTTCGAAAATGGATGTCACATTAGATATCGAAATAAATCAATCGGAAACATATAATATTTCTTTACCTCGTTATCTTTTTTGGTTGTGTTTCTCATTGACTTTGGTTTTATTTGCATTCAGTGGGTTGGTTATTTTCGACAGGATACATGCGAAATCTAATGATTTAGTTCAAACAACAACGACAACAACGACAGTGAAACCAATAACATCATCAACAACAGTGAACGACGAAATCTGGAATCCGATTACTCCAATTTAGTAGGCATTTCATTCCATTTCATTTCATTTTGTTTTTTCAATTTATTCGTCATAAATCGAAAAGCATTGAAAGACAAAGCATGCAAAAAAATTTATTCAAAACCATACTAAATTTAAATTCAAAGAAAAATTCAATTGTGCGGATGAGACTGAGGACCAATCGAGTATACGGAGAAGAAGAAGAAGAAGAAGAAGAACCATTGACATTAAATTTGAGTGAAAGCAAAAATCAACCAAAAGAAGAAACGGTAAACCAAAACAATTCAACAATGTTGCCATCCACCACTTCACTACGATTAAATTATGGCGAGATTCTAGGAAAAATGACGCCTTTTCTAGGAGTAATTGGTGGGGTATATTCGCTTTACAAAATTTATTCGACTTTCTTCAACTGTGAAAAATTAGAAGTTATTGTGGTCCAACGCTCGTGGTTTTAAGCACAAATGAAAATTGGTGAAAAAAATTAAAAACAAAATCATATTGTTTGTTTTTTTTCCATTCAATATTTCAAATTCTTTTTTTTCTCAAGGTTTGCTATGTGTAGCTTGTTTTGATATTCCAGGAGCAGCTGATTCTTTCGCTCATTCACATTCCTATTTTTGGTGCCTGATTACTGTGAACTTGACATTCAAAACAAATCAATCGAATTGTAATTTTTTTTTTCGTTCGGTGTGTTCCGAAAGGAATGGTCCATATCGATATACCAAATGAATGGGTTAGGATAAAAGTGAGCTCAAATTTTCATATAAAAAAATCTCAATCATGAAATCGGTAAAAATAAATGACCAACTAAACTGAGATGAAAATAAAAGAGCAACATGATTCATGTTGGTCTTTTATTTTCACTCTAAACATGTTGAACTTTTATTTTTACGCTGCGCACGGTGGTGTTTTATTTTCAAAGCAAATAAGTTCCCGTTTTATTGGAAGTCCTATCAAGTTGGTATTTTATTAACATTCTTATCATGTTGAATTTTTATTTATTTCAGTGGTCTCCCGTAAAATTTTTTTTGTTTCTTCGATTTACAAATTCTATTCAATTTTCTGTATCATCTGATGAAATCAGAATGAAAAAACTCTAATTCCTTATCACTGAAATCGTGATTGGCATTCGGTCACTATTCAATAGATGTTACATGGGAAGTTTATATGAAACTCTCGGAGACTCGGTATAGAGCACTCAAAAAGTGAAAAAAATCCAGATCGTGATTTGGGTGATAAGGAACGCGATTTTTTTCATTCTGATTTCGTCAGGTGATACAGAAAGTTGAGAAGTATCTGAGAATTGAAGAAAAAAAAAATTAATAATTTTTTTCATTTTTCACGATTTTTTATCATTCACATGGGAGGCTTGTATGAAAGAGACACGGTAGACCGCTGAAATGGCAAATGCCATTATACGGACCTACGGCAGTGCCATTTCAGCGGTCTTCCGTGTTTTTCATACAATCCTCCCATATAGATGGTATAAAAAATCGCGAAAAATGAAAAAAATAATTAAATTTTTTTTCCTCAATTCTCAAATACTACTCAATTTTCTGTATCACCTGGTGAAATCAGAATGAAAAAAATCGCATTCCATATCATCCAAATCACGATCTGGACTTTTTTCACTGTTTGAGTGCTCTATACCGAGTCTCCGAGAGTTTCATATAAACTCGCTATGTGATGCCTATTGAATAATAAGCGAATACCAATCGTGATTGAATCAATAGGCGTCATTTGGCTATTGCAAGGCGAGCTTATATGAAACTCTCGGAAACTCGGTATAGAGCAAAAAAGTGAAAAAAAAAATGATTTTTTTTTTTCAATTCTCGAACACCACTAAATGGTCTATATCATGTGATGTGATCAGAACGTAAAAATTTGTCATCTTTGTCACCCAAATCGTTGTTCAATGCTATCTCGCTCCCCCTTGCATGTATAAATGTTTACAACGGACATTCTATTCACACACAACTCGTACTTATATTTTGCTGCGTAATAAAATTGTTGAGAATGAATTTATTTGGTAATCGCTTTGAGTTTTGTGTCGACGATTTTTATTGCGCATCAAGATATAGATGCGAGTTGTGTGTGAATATAATGTCCATTGTAAACATTCATACATGCAAGGGTGAGCGTGATAGCATGAGACAACGACTTGACATTTGCCAAGCACGATTTGGGTGAAAGGGATAGCAAATTTTTCACAGCAAATGATATAGAAAATCATTTTTTTTAACTTTTTTGCTCTTTACCGAGTTTCCGAGAGTTTCATATAAACTCGCCTTGCAATAGCCAAATGACGCCTATTGATTCAACCACGATTGGTATTCGCTTATTATTCAATAGGCATCACATAGCAAGTTTATATGAAACTCTCGGAGACTCGGTATAGAGCACTCAAACAATGAAAAAAGTACATACTGTGATTTGGATGATAAGGAATGCGATTTTTTTCATTCTGATTTCACCAGGTGATACAGAAAATTGAGTAGTATTTGAGAATTGAGGAAAAAAAATTTAATTATTTTTTTCATTTTTCGCGAATTTTTATACCATCTATATGGGTGGATTGTATGAAAAACACGGAAGACCGCTGAAATGAATAAAAAATTCAGCATGATAAAAATGTAAATAAAATACCAACTTGATAGGACTTCCAATAAAACGGGAACTTATTTGCTTTGAAAATAAAACACCACCGTGCGCAGCGAAAAAATAAAAGTTCAACATGTTTAGAGTGAAAATAAAAGACCAACATAAATCATGTTGCTCTTTTATTTTCATCTCAGTTTAGTTGGTCATTTATTTTTACCGATTTCATGATTGAGATTTTTTTATATGAAAATTTGAGCTCACTTTTA